AACTTGATGGATAGGAAGAATAACATGTATGATGGAAGTATTGTAAGTGCAAAAATGTATCTAATAGTTGTTAGTAAGCAAAATAAACGTGAATGCTGGAGAAGGAAAGCATCAGCTTTTTTTTTTTTTTTTTTTTTTTTTTGAGTGCTAGTCACTTGAGCATTTCTTTTTCCACACTTCTGTGGTATAAAGTTATACTTCTGTGGTATAAAGTTATGCTTCTAGCATGTTTAAACTTTGGTGGTGTTAAATGAATGAGTAATTGTCCTCATCCATACACTGATTTGTTGTGCAGAATGGTTCCTAAAAGATGTAGATGAGGAAAAGTTGAAGGTCATTTCTCCCCTGCCTAAAGGATACGTACATTGACTGAATACAAAATTGTTGCGAGTAGCAGAATTTTGCTGTTTGCCAGCTACTGAAGATCAGAGTTTTCCATTATAGAGTATGTTCTCTGCCCAAACAACTGAAAATAATTAATATGATCAAAATACTGTTCTCACCTTTATGATGAGCTTTTAAAACTTTTAAAAATCAGTTTTGCATCAGGCCCCTCCCATATACTTAGAACAAGAAACAGGGAGAAATCTTTCAGTCTTTTGTCGTAACTGAGATCCTCAAGGTCTAGTAAGAAACCAGACCCTAGTCCAATCGTAATAATCAGCCACGCGAGGAGGAGGAGGAGTAGTAGCAGCAATGTGCAGTCCTACAGTGACATGCTGAGCCACAGCTCCATCTTGCAGTGTGTGTGCAGTCTGACAGCATTATTTTTGACCTTGCCATCACGTGTGAGAGGATGTGGCTCCTCCGGTCCTCTGGTACCCGTATGCGAGGTTGGGATTACTACTGCACATGCCCAGTTTCCGGTTAAACTGCTTTTGCTTTGGTGTGCAGAGGTGTGCAGCCACAGTCCTGAGCAAACTGTTCAGCTGGGACGCGAGCAGCCGTGGGCTGGCAGGTGGCAGAGTGAGGTAGGCAGGGATTTCTGGTGGCCAGTATAGGAGTTGTTTTTCAGCTCATTCTGCATTGCTGACTTTCTGTGATTATTTTTTTTTTTTCCTCTTTTCTTTTTTCTTTCACTATCAGGAAAGCTGGAAATGTAGGGTGCAGATGGGAGTCCCCTGGCATCTTCCAAATCTGTTGTGCAACTCCCAAAACAGTAACAGCAGCAGAAACGCTGGGACAGGGAACGTGTGTAGAAATGACTGGCTCTGTGGTTTTGATTGTGTCAGTTGCTGCTTGTGACTTAAAAACAGCAGGTTTGACTATTTTTCATTTCTACTAACTGCAGGTTTTGGTTGGGGTTTTTTTTGCCATTTGTTGGGATCATTTTACTTCTGAAGATCTGATTTTATTTTTTTACTTTTACACTGATCTGTAATACTGTCTTTTCGCTGCAGCTCTGTAGCTGTTTGGACACCTTCTGAAGAAATTTGATGTGTGAAAAATGATGTAATGAAAAGCTTCTAGAGAATGCATAGGTATTGATAGCAAAATGACAGCTGTTACTTGTTTTAAGCTTTGTGTAGGTTGTAAATAAGCAGAGTCATAGGGTTTTGGGGTTTATAGTATTTTTTTTTTGACATGCCTAATGCAAGTTAAACAACTTACTGACATTTTCTGTTCAAATTAATGCTATTTTTGTTGGAAAAGGAGACTATCTGGGACTACGAAAGTCTACTACCAAATTCTGGGGTAGGTGCAGTTTGTGCAGGATAAGGCCGTATGAATTTGTGTGCTTAGTTAAGAATTGACCGGTCTTTTGTCCTTGTTGCTGTGTCTGTTGAACAGCTGTTTCTGCTTTTATCTTGCCATGTTGTGAGATGTACAAATGAGATCTTGTTGATTTTTGTTGCTAGTTAAAGTGCAGATGAGATTAATATTAAACAAGTTAATCAGCCTTTATGTGTAGTTCTTCCCTGTTGTGAAATTGTGACATGTGGCCAGCAACTTTCTCCTGCTAAACTACATTTAGATAAAACTAAATTGCATGCAATTAAGTAGTAGTCATGTTAACGTTAAATAACGCATATTAGAAATATTACATGATGCAGGCTAACAGTTCTTTGTCTTGAATAAGTACTTTGTAGTGGTGACACGGGAAGCTTGTGTTTGAAAATAAGTGGCTATTATCAAATAGAGGTTTTGGTTGGAAAAATAAGATAATAATCACATGTCAGTTTTCAATTTCCATGAGACATCGATCAGATAGTCCAGGGCATAGGGCAGTAAAGCAATTGAAGCTTTGTTCTGTGTTCTGCATGTAACTGAGATCATGATTTTAGAAGAAATCCACTAATTTTCTGTGGTTCTGTAATTGTGTCCTAAGATTCCTAATATTTAGCATCTAAATAGTCAAAGGTACTGAGTATTTGCAGTTCTAACCAGATTTAGTCAATTCAAATTAATGTTGACTGCTAATCGCTGTCTGAGTACTGTGCTCTGTAATTGCTAACATCCTGGATGTTAGTCCCATGTTAGAATTTTTCTGTTGTAGAAAGCAAAATTGCAGTCCCATTCTTGGGCACGGACAAGACTTTTCTTTGTGGATTTCTCTAGAAGTTTGTTCGTGAGCATGTGAGGAAATACCTTCACAGCTCTCCTGCACTCCCTTTTACTGTGACCATGCTGCACTGTTTACCTTTAAGCAGTGGGTCTTTCAGACATGCAGTGCTTTTCAGACTAAAACCCACAGGGGTTATGTGTGGAACCTAAGTGATTTTACTTGAAAGTAAGGCTGGTATCGCTGTCCTCTCGGGTGGGATACTTGTTTCTTGTGGGCACTACTGACACTTCTGCCAAGGACTGCAGAAGAAACAGAGCTGTGAAAGTGTGGTATTTCCTCCTTACACCAGGAATAATGAGTTTCTGTTAAACGCCTGTAAACAAGTGAAACACTCCTAGAGTCGTTTAGGTTGGAAAAGACCTTTAAGATCATCAAGTCCAGGCATCCTTAACCTAACACTGCCATTCCACCACTAAACCATGCCCCTAAGCACCTCTTAGACTACCTGTCTTTTAAATACCTCCAGGGGTGGGGACTCTTCCCTGGGCAGCCTGTTCCAATGCTTGAAACCCCTTTTGGTGAAAAAATTTTTCCTTATGTCCAACCTAAACCTGCCCTGGCGCAACTTGAGGCCATTTCCTCTTGTCCTATGGACCACTACCAGGGAGAAGAGACCGACCCCCACCTCGCTACAACCTCCTTTCATGCAGTTGTAGAGGGAATCAATGGGCCCTGTTACAATTGTGGCTTATCAGAGTGAAGACATTTGTTTTGGATTAGCTTTTAAGGTGGCAGAAAATAATATTGTGGTTTCAAAAGGGGTAAGTTCTCTGTTTGGGTTGCAAACTATCCAAGGTGGAAGAAATCAGTAAATACAGTAAGCTTACCACCTTAGGCTCATTTTCCCACATTTCTCTTCAGCTGTAGCACAGTTTCTGTTTCGGAGGCTTACATGTTGCTTGTTTTCCCCTTGTCAGAAATGAAGCAGTGTTAACTAGTCGTGTATCTGTGCCTGTGTTCCTGGAAAGCTCTGGTAAACTTGTTCTGGGGTAGTAAAGTGCTTTTGGTTCTTGGAGATTATTGTACTGAGCCATATTAAAGGTGGTAATTGCATTGATTTGGTGTACTGATGTTAAGTGACTTGTGCCAGAAAGTGGTTGCACATGGCATTGCAGTGGTCAGGATGGTATGGATCCTAATGTTTGTGGTTTTTTTTGTTTTTTTGGTTTTTTTTTTTTTATTGCTCCTGTTCAAGCTAAGCCCTGTCTTTACCTACCTTTGACCCCTACTCACAGTGTTTTCACTGTATAGTTTTAAAAAAAGCATCATGCACCAAGATCCTGGCTGGCTTCAAACCAGTTGCCTTGGTCCTGGTAGGAGAGAGCACAGTCCTATGCTCAGCAACATGGCCGTCTGCATGCCTGAAGGAGATGACCCAAGCTTTCTTTTTAGGCCAATTACGTATTTCCACATCTTTCAGGGTGACAAAAAGCTAACTCTGTAGGCTTTACGTGGTAGCTTTTCACAGGGAATGCTGGCTTAATGAATATTTTATTTTGTATTTTCTCCACAGGGATTTTGTACCGATATGAAGCCCAAGGCGATTCTTTGACTAGCCCCTACCATTTTCACCTGAGAGCGGAGAACTGAGCCATTGGGAAAGA